TCAGGGGTTTCTGCTCTGGTAAGTTGTAATTCTCTGTATTTGCTTGTCTGTCTCTCCAATTTGGGGAGCAGCAATTTGCCCTGTGACCTCACTTCTCTGACAGATCTGAGAATTGTTGATTTTTCAGTGTGTTTAGCTTTTTACTTGTTGTTACAATGGATTGACAACTTCCAAGCGCCGGATCGTAAACCAGAAAGCTACTACCAGTTTTTTGTTTTGTTTTGTTGTTTTGTTTTGTTTTTTTTTTTTGAGGAAGATTAGCCCTGAGCTAACTACTGCCAGTCCTCCTCTTTTTGCTGGGAAGGCTGGCCCTGAGCTAACATCACGCCCGTCTTCCTCTACGTTATATGTGGGACACCTACCACAGCGTGGCATGCCAAGCGGTGCCATGTCCACACCTGGGATCTGAACCGGGGAACCCCTGGCCGCTGAGAAGCGGAATGTGCGAACTTAACCGCTGCGCCACCGGGCCAGCCCTCTACTACCAGTTTTTTAAAAGTTTTGTTGGAACGTAGCCACTTCCATTCATTTATGAATCATCTACGGCAGCGTTGAGTAGTTGCGACAGAGTGCCACAAAGTCTTAAATACATGCTATCTGGTCCTTTACATCAAAAGTTCGCCAACACCTGACTTAGATTACAAAATCTCTCCAGTAAAAGGAGCTTTATTCTGACTGGTTTATAGAGGCTAAAAAGTACTTATATAAGTCCAATATTCCTAGAATTCCCAGAAAGTAAAGAAACTCAACTATGTACCAGCTTTTTAAGGGAAAAAACATTGCTTCCTCACAGAAACTGCTTGGCCATAAGCATTTTTATACAAGAATCTGAAATCCTAGGGTGAATCATACTTGTTTGACAGTTTGGGTTTTTAAAAAAATCTGTTGAGTTCATCCCCTGGATTTGTCTTCTCATAAAGAGAGTTCATCTGAACTTTCTGAACTTCTTTACTGGCTTATCACATGAGTTCACGCCCACATAGTATTTAAAATGAGGAAGAGCATAAAATTATATGTTCAACACTTTAGAATTATATGAATTCTGATGAACCTTTTATATTAACATTAATTATGAGCTATAGGGTGTCATTTTAAATAGAATTCCCAAGATCCTTGGTTAACTTTAACAGTTGGAAATAATATTAAATCAGGTTAATTAATTAATTGATATCAGTTACATAGATAACTTCTAAGTAACATGGAATACTGAAACACAGGTCACTAAGATATATATCTATCCATAGAGATATATATCTTATATATACACGCACTATATATGTACACATATACATATATTATATAAACACACACACATATATATATACACACTAAAATATTTCTTAGTGTATATATATATACATATATGTGCACAGTGTGTACTATATATATAAAAGATTGACTGATTGGACTATCTAAAGGTTAAAATTTTCTATAGGGCAAAAGATATCATAAACCAAGCCAAAAGAAAAATGATGGTCTGTGAGAAAATATTACACTGTAATAGAAAAGCTATATTAGTAATATGGCTGACAGATGTAACATCCCTATTATACAAAGAAATCCTGCAAATCAATTTTTAGAAAAGACAAGGAACTGAATTTTTAAAAATGAGCAATGTATATGAATAAGTCATAAACAAAAGAGGAAACGCAAAGGCTAACAAATATATACAAAATGTGCCCAGCCTCACTAGGAGTCAGGAAGTGAAAATCGAAACCATGTGATCCTGTTTTATCACCCATCAGACTGGCAAAATGTGAAGTCTGAGGGTAAATGCTGACGACTATTTAGAAACAGGTATCTACAAATATTGCTGATGAGTTCATACAACATTTGGAGGCAGTAATCTTTGTAAAATAATCTGTTAGGATCAATTATAATTAAAAATACACATAGCCTAGGGCTGGCCCAGTGGCATGGCGGTTAAGTTCATGCGCTCCGCTTCGGTGGCCTGGGGTTCCCAGGCCCAGATCCCGGGTGCAGACTAACGCACTGCTCATCAAGCCATGCTGTGGCAGGCATCCCACATACAAAATAGAGGAAAATGTTAGCTCAGAGCCAATCTTCCTCAGCAAAAAGAGGAGGATTGGTGGCAGATGTTAGCACAGGGCTAATCTTCCTCAAAAAAAATAAAATAATGTACACATAGCCTTCCACACAGGGATCTCATTTAGGAATTTCATTACATTTCTAAGTGAATAATTATCATGAGCTACTTTTCATATAATACATGGACATTCATGATCTATTTAAACACTATTATTTTCATTGGCATTTATGATTTTTTAAAAAAGTAGTTGATAAATCTTAAAGTGAAAATGAGTTCTGTAAGTCTGAATAACGGTCCCTGGGTGGGGGAGGGGCAGGAGTTTGTCTTGCAGGGAGAGACTCAACAGGAAGGAATGACTATATACTAAGTATTTTTCTGAAACCAAGATAGATTGGGACAAGAATAGTCGATAGGCAATTGTCAGTGACTGTTGTGAAAGTTGAATAATGGCTATGAAATCAAATCCTCTATATTGAATTCCTAAAAACAGTATTTTGTGAAAGACCATAGAGAATATTAGAACAATATCTTGCCTTAGAGAGAAAAAGATTGGGAAATCCATCATACCAGCTCTTCCCTGTCAAAAACAGATACCATCTAGAAGAAAGGCAATCCTAGGGCTCAGAGATAGTGCTAGTAATGTTCCTGAATCAAACTGTTAAGATAATTCATTATTACCGGGATCACACCAGTTCCACAAAGTTTATTCTAGCAAAACTGCGCTTTGAGGCATTCTTACCATTCCCCGAGATTTCCAATTGATAAGCTGGCAGGAATTCAATTTTAACATTCACTACACAATTATATGATGGAAAAACATTGAGTTTCTAGTTGACTTGAAAAGATAATAGTTGTTCTTTTGTGTGCATATTTGTTTAAGCAAATTTAGCTAAGAGGAAAATATCTAATTAAATGATGAGTGACACAACTAAGCCATGACCCCTGGCAAAGAAGAGCTGTAGAAAAATTATTATTATTCAGTTTCGGGGCTGGGGAAATCTACATAACCTATATATATATATATACGGCATGAAAGAGTTAAATGTCAACAGACCCCTCTCCAACCTTCCCACCATACACTCACACACACACACACACACACACACACGGCTGTTTTATAATGAGGAGACCATAATTTTTGGTTACAACACCAGAGCATTATTTGATGAGGGGACCTAGAGAACAGCTGTAGAGAAAAAGGACCCCTTCAGATGAAGGCGAGTTTTCTGATCCTCAGCCTTGGAGACATCTTTCCCGTCTAAAACCACTAGATGTAGGGGAGGACATTCAGAGGCGCAACCACACAGAGATTTTGAGAAGACTTGTGAGCCCCTTTGCAAAGGCTTTAGCAGAAAGCCTATGTGTCAAAAGAAGACAAATCTACGGAGTTTCTTGCTATTACATATATTGCATAACAGAAATTTATAAAGTCTGTGAGGAAAAACTCTTTAAAGTTTATAAATTCTGAGCAACTCTGTGTAGAAACTAAGAATGCTCCTGAATGAAAATATTAGCTCTGATAAAAATAGTATATTCATTTGTGACCATGTGTGTGTGTTCCAGAAAGGAGCACCAGTGCCTTCTTTTGGACCATCCATTTCAGTTATTCCTTCTGGGGTTCCAAACCAGGATGAAATTCCCACCTCTCTCCCTAAGGATGAGTGGGAGACTAGTCTGTCAACTAAGAAGAATCAAGCGCCTACAGGGGGCAATTTAAAGGCTTCACCAGGATTTGTATTACCAAGGGAGCAGCCAGACCAGGCAGTGGCTCAGTCCTGACTCTTGACAGGTCTAAGTAGGCCTGACTTGAAAACGTGACACTCGGGAGAAAGGTCTAGCTTCTGGCGGGCATCTTTGTACTCCATCTCTACTGTTTACTTTCTCTGCCATTGGCAGTATTTTGATGGAAAATGTTGTAAAATACTGCAACAGATAAATCTTACAAATTAGAACAGGACTAATTTGGATGGGGTTTCAGATTTATTTGCAAGTATTCAGAAGTAGATTGATCCAGAGAAAAAAATTATTCCCCAGTCACTCTCTCATCTCCAGACAGGCACCTCTCAAAAGCATGCTGTTAAAAAAAAGGAAGGCAGTGCAGGGACTGTGGGACAACTCGGGGAAAACTGAATACAACTCAAAGCACAACTCTTCTCAGAAGGCCATGTAGGGATGTCTCTAGTATTTAAGGTGCTGGTTTACGTTTTCATTGCTGGCTTCCATTTGGTCTTGGTAAGACTGTCAAACAATACCTACTGTCTCTTAGCCAAGAGTGAATGTATGACCCACATGAGGCCAATCGGCCTTCCCTTTGGAGGATATGAATCCTAAGGGGAAAGCTGACACTGATAATGGTGGGTGTGCTTCATTTGGCAGAGAGAACCCTGAAGAATCTGAGGGTCCCTCCATTATGTCCTTCTGCCCAGGGCCCTGGAGCAGTTCTGATCCCTGTCCTTTCAAGGTTCCTCAGCTTTTCCTTTGATTCTGTGAGCTATTCCTAATCTTTCCAATAAAGTCTTTCTTCATTATATCAGTCAGTCAGTTTTTTTGCTTGCAGCCAAAAGCTGGTAGTGTAGGCCCATAGCACCAGCTTCACATACAAAACTCATCACTGCTTTTTTTAAGTTAAAGTTTTTCTTTTGTTCCCAAAGATTGGCACCTGAGCTAACATCTGTTGCCAGTCTTCCTTTCTTCTTCTTCTTCTTCTTCTTCTCCCCAAAGCCCCCCAGTACATAGTTGTATATTCTAGTTGTAGGTCCCTCTGGCTGTGCTATGTGGGCTGCCACCTCAGCATGGCTTGATGAGTGTTGCCATGTCTGCACCCAGGATCCGTGAACTGGCGAAACCCTGGGCCGCCAAAGCAGAGGGCGCAAACTTAACCACTTGGCCATGGGGCCAGCCCCATCATCACTTTTTATTTGATAAAATGAAATACTCTATTTACAGAAAGTTAGCCAGATGGTGATTTTATTTGGCATTATTATTTGTCCAGATTTCAGTATAAAACACAAAAATTTCACTTTTAAAATAGAAGGAATTTTACATCTTCTTATCATTGTTCCTTTCTACTTTCCTCCCCCTACTTCAACTTATCTTAACCCTCATTTCATTCTTTAAAAAAAAAAAAAAGAAAAACTTACCAAAAAGAGTCTTTCATATCTAAATACATAGTATATTTCTGCTTAAGAGATTGAACATTAAAAATCTTTTTTGAAGCACGGAGGATTTTTAGGGCACTTTGTATGATTCTACAATGGTGGATATAAGTCATTATACATCGTCCAAACCCCTAGAATGTACAACACCAAGAGTGAACCCTAAGACAAACTATGGACTTTAGGTGATTATGATGTGTCAATGTAGATTCATTGATAGTAACAAATGTACCACCCTGGTGGAGGATGTTGATAATGGCGGAGGTTATGCATGACTAGGGGTGGGGGATACATGGGAAATCCCTGTACCTTCCTCTCAATTTTGCTGTGAACCTAAAACTGCTCTAAAAATGAAGTCTATTAAAAAAAAAAAAAAACTATTTCTAAACTGTAAACAAAGCTCATACTCAATCTATTTCGTAATCATAATCATCATCCTCCATGTTGATTCTGCTACTGGAGTGCTCTTCAGGTTTTGATTTCTTCTTGGTTTCTTTGTTTTTCTCGGTCAGATGTAAGTGATGCTCACATTGCCGCATGATCTTCTTGGAAGACATCCAGCTCTCCCCTTGTCGTTCAGCTGGTGCTGCACATTGTCCTCCCCTCACATCTGTGCCCTTGGCCTTCAGGACCTCCCTCGCTTTTAGGAGGCTGCACGTGCAATTCCATGGATTTCCATCCAGATACAGGTGTCTGAGACGAGGCAGCCCCTCCAGGGCTTTGAGGTCTAAGGCAGAGATCTTGTTGTTCCTGAGGTTTAGAACCTGAAGCTGCTTTAGATCCTTGAGCTCCCTCTCAGCAATGCCCTGGATGGCATTGCCTTTTAGGTCCAGCCTGGCTAAGGTCTCTGGGAGCCTGCAAAAGCACGGAAACAGGATGGGAGAGGAGGTCGTGACCATCATTCCACAACTGCCATGGACTGAACGACACCCACCTTTTCTGTATAGTTCTGTCACTTCTGAATCTAGAAAGTAGCTTTACTTTTAAAAAGTAATTTTAAGCACAAATCTCAGTCTTACCTATAGGTCTTAACCCTTCCTCATAAGTCTAGTTTTCTAATCCTTTGATTTTTTCTGGTTCCTGGTCATAAAACTCTATTTTTTTTCTTGTCAAACAGGGTCACATAAACAAATTGATAAGAAAAACACTAAGTTGCCAATTCTTTAGTTGGCAAAGGCTATGAATCAATAATTTATAGAAGTAAAAATATGAAGAAAGTGTTATTCTTCATGAATGTAAAAAGCAAACAAAAAAGGACACAATATTTGTATGTATCAAACTAGATAGTGGGAGTGTAAGTTGGTATCACTTTAATTTGGCACCATGTGTTGTATTTAAATAATGTCATGCCTTTTGACCTAGGAAATAATAGGAGAAGTGAATAGAGATTTATTTACAAATATGTTTGTCACATATTTGATCATATTTATAATGGCAAAAAATGATAAAAGACTAATGTCCACTAATACAGAAATTAGGGGGTAATAAACTATTATGTGATTATAAAAATCATGTTTTCAAATAATTTTTTTTCTTCTTCTTCTCCAAAGCCCCCCAGTGCATAGTTGTATATTCTAGTTGTGAGTGCCTCTGGTTGTGCTATGTGGGATGCTGCCTCAGCATGGCCTGATGAGTGGTGCCATGTCCACACCCAGGATCCGAACTTGGCAAAACCCTGGGTCACCAAAGCAGAGTGCACAAACTTAACCACTTGGCCACAGGGCCAGCCACTCAAATAAATTTTAAAATACTAATTCTGTGAGAAAGCTTTTCTAATTATGACTTAAAAATCCAGGAGCAGGGCTGGCCCCATGGCCGAGTGGTTAAGCTCATGTGCTCCACTTAGGTGGCCCAGGGTTTCACTGGTTCAGATACTACATTAAAAATAATTTAAAAAGTCATGTATGGAAAAAGACATGTGCAAAGTCAAAAGACAAATGACAAAAACCGGGGTAAACGTCTGCACCTCACATCCCAGACAAAGAGCTAACATAAGGGCCCTTAAACATAAAGGGCCCTTAAAAGTTGAGAAGAAAAGGTTTTAAAATAAAACTGAAAAATGGCAAAAAGCATGACTTGAAGTCCACATAAACAACCATACTCAGAATAGAGAAATGAAAAATAAAACCATACAGAGATGTCATTTCTGACTTAACAGGTGAGAATGTTATTACGAATCAAGATTTTCATTGTAAGAGAAAAAGATACAAATATAAAATAAAAGAAGAAAAAACTCTCTCTAATGTTAAATATGAATTTGAAATGTCAGTGTGAATTCATAATTTAAAAAAATATATTTTCTAGATCTGTATGCTGAAAAGACCTAGAAGCAATATTACACCCTAATAGCAATGCCCCCCCCCCCCCAATAACATAAGCACACCAAGCACACAGATCTTAGTTTCAGGATTCCATTTTCCACTTAAAAGAACAAAGGCTTCTTGGAGAAATGGCTGATTCCATGTCTGGGGTGCAGTGAGCTGGCACTTCTGAACCAGAATGCAATAAAATGTTCAAAAATGAGTAGAACACCCATCAGGATGGCACTATCAAAAACCAGAAAGTAACAAGTATTGGCAAGGATGTGGAGAAACTGGAACCTTTGTGTACTATTGGTGAGAATGTAAAATAGTACAGTCACTATGGAAAACAGTATGGTGGTTCTCCAAAATATTAAAGATAGAATTACCATATAATCCAGCAATTCCACGTCTGGGTATGTACCAAAAGAACTGAAAGCAGGGTCTTGAAGAGGTATTTTTGCATCCATGTTATGCATCCATATTGAACTCACAGTAGCTAAAACATGGGAGCAACCTGAGTGTCCATTGACAGATCAATGGATAAGCAAAATGCAATATATACATCATTGGAATATTATTATTCATTCTTAAAAAGGAAGGAAGTTCTGACAAATGCTACAAAATGAATAAACCTTGAGGACATTACGCTAAGTGAAAAAAGTCTGTCACAAGAAGACAACTCCTGTATGATTCCACTTATATGACACATCTTGAGTAGTCAAATTCATAAAAATAGAAAGTCAGAAAGTAGAATGGTGGTTGCCAGGGGCTGGAGGGAGGGGCAAATGGGAAGTTGTCGTTTAATGGGTGTAGAGTTTCAGATTTGCAAGATGAGAAAGTTCTAGAGATCAGTTGCAAAACAATGTGAACATACTTACTACTACTGAACAGTACACTTAAAAATCGTTACAATGGAGAATTTTATGTTATGTGTATTTTACCACAATTGAAAAAAGAGAGATAATGGAGTCACGTCTCATGAACATAGGAACCAGCTTGGAGGGCTCCCACTAGAAAAATTTGGGACAATTTGAGTATCAAAATAGACTAGCAACTGTAGATGATCATAACACACTGAATTAAGATAGATCCATGGGTCCAGAGCGATACTTGGAAAACACAGAGAGAAAGAAAAAAAGGGAAAGAAAAAAATACTCTATAACGTTAAGTAGAAAAAATAATATACAAAATTGAACGATCCCAAATATGTAAAAACAAATTATATCTAGGCATAGGCTCTGGTTGAGCAATTATGGGTGACTTTTTTACTTTTCAGCACACTAAGTTTTCAACCTTGAACAAGTATTGCTTTATAATGAGGGGGGGGGAGTTTTCTTAAAACTGTTGATACAATGTGAAAAATATCATGCTAATGCCCACTGATAAAAAACAAGAAAGAATCACAATTGTGAGCCTGAAAATCTTTCTGTTATACAACTTTATATTAAGTGCTATTCTTTTCTTGAAGTACAAGAAGTTGGAAAGTTTTATAGGAAAAACAGTCCCTTCAAAAGGCCCTTGAACTACCATCCAAATGCTATTTTCATACAGTGTGAACACATTAGACGTATGTTCACGCCTTTTAGTATTGAGTGAAATTTATTGTGGTGGTCCCAATCATATGATTGCTATGTTGAAGAGACAAAAGCAAATGAATTTAACCATATTTTATGGCAATATTACTTTTCGCTTCTTATAGTATTATTCTTATACGAATTTCATTCCAAAAAGTTAACCTTTTAGGTTATTGGTACTTAGCCTAAATTTTGCCCTTGGTTTTTTCTTTTATATTGATATTTATATATATTTATGTTTATGTATTTTATATTTGCATTCATATCCTAAACCATACAGTAGATATACATATGTAAGTATTTGTGGTTTTGGGTATTTTAAAGTCTTATTTATTTAAAGTGACTTCTCCTTACTTGGAACAAAATTTCCCTAGCAAAGTAAATTAATTTATTAGGGAAAATCACTTCATACATTTTAACAGTTTGAGAATTAAATTCAATTTGAAGTTAATCCCCAAGACAATGTAATTTTGTGCACACACCAGCTTCTATAAGGTACATCTCTAAAAGTTACACAGAAAATCTCTTATAAATAGTCCCTTTTTTTCCCCTAAGGAAAGATGGAGTATTAATAGACTACGGAGCAGTAAGCCAGCCTCCGTTCCTACTGACAGAACAATGGAGCGCAGCTGGGGAAAGATATGATAAACTGCGCACTCAAAAGTCCCTACTTATTAAGACTTTAGTTCTAACTCTGGCCATGTTACTTACCAGTCTGTGGTTTTAGGTAAGTTATTTAGCTTCTTAAAGCTTCTGATTTTCCACCTTACAGATAAAAGTGCTCAGTACACAGAAGTCACATAATAAATGTTAGCTAATGAAAATGAGCAAGCCAAGATTTCTTTTAAACTAGTTGAATTATTCAGTTCTGGGCTGTATAGCCAAAAATTGTACCGGTTTTTAGGAGTACCTTTTTTTTCTTTCTTGTTTCTATGCACATTATAACCAAAATGGCGTTGTAGGAGAAATCACTTATTATCCTAGTTTTGTGACTTTGGGGCAGTCATTTATTGCTTTGACATAATTTGTCTTTATAAGTCTGCTGTACATCAAAAAGTAGCCCTGATTTTAAGACAAACATGTTTCTAGAAATGCTGTATATTCTTTGGGTGGTTGTTGCTTTTTAGACTAAAACGGGGCATACCCCATTTTGCCAGTAGATGGCACTTGAGTATAAGTGCGATAAAATGTTTACTGACCGCGTTAGGTTGTAGAAAGCTATTCTGGATTTGAATTATCCAAGGAGCGGAAAAGAAGAGAAGATGTAACATATTTGTTCACTGAGCTGCAGATTGGTGAACTGTGAAGCAGCAAAACGTGAGGCCCAGGTCTTAGACATTCTAAGTCCTAAGTAATAGAGTGTCTTGTTGACAGTAAAGCTCAGAGGCAGGATCCCGCGGTGGCTAAAATTCCCTGGCTCTGGAGTTAGACTACTGTGTTCAATCCTCACTCCACCACTTATTGACGATGTGACTTAGAGCAAGTTTCTTGATACCTCTTAACAGTAATGTCCTAATCTGTAAAATAACAGGTAAAACAACGTATCGACCTTCACAGGATTGTTGTAAAAAATAACAAATGATTCTAAGTTCATCTGCTGGTCTTAGTAAGCACTTAATAAACCTTAGGTACTATTTTCTACCTCAATTAGCAAATTGAGACAAATATGGTAGATATTTGAATATATGTATTACCTAAAACCATATACCATTATTTTCTTGATGAAATGTCAAATGGAGAATGATGGGCAAAAGAAGGGATTTGTGGAAATAGTTTGTGGTAGGAGTAGGTTGCCTCTGTTTACAGTTTATTTATAGAAAACTGAATATTAAAGTATAATTTTATGTATGAATAAGAAGCTTGTTAATAAAAAAGAAGGAAAGAAAGGGTTTACTGTTTAAAGGTCATAAATAAAAGTCTTAAAATTCAAATATAAGAAATAGATATTATTGCGTTTTAATTCTTTATGGGAGGAAAACCACAGAGTGACTTTTCTGGGTCATTCTGCTTTCCAATTCAAAGAAAAGCCAGAGAGTGGGGGCAGAGGGTGATGGAGAATTTGAAAATCACTCTCTACAAGAACTTTCTCTCATAGCTGGCCAAATTCTTGACAGAGCAGACAGTTGTGTTGCTTAATTTAAGCCTCATAGAAAAAGCCCACTCTTGTCCATGTTCCTTGCCCCATTGTCCTTGCCCACTAATTCTCAACCCTGGCTACGCATTAAATTCATGTGCGGAGCTTTTTAAAAATACCGAGGCCTGGTCCCCAACCCTGGGGTGTCTGATTTAATCGGTTTGAAGTGAGGTCTGGGTATGAGTATGCTTTTTTAGAGTTCTCCAGATAATTCCATTGTCAAGTCAGCTAGCTCAGGCTTATAATTCCTTTATACATTCAATTGGGTAAAAGCATTGTGCTTTCTGTAGTCACTTATTAAAAACACAGATACCCTGGCAGGAGTAAATAATTAAGCTATTTTTCACTCATTAAACTGAATGGGATTACTTAACCAAATCCTTTCTAAAAGTCACCTGAAAAGAAAAGGCCCCTCAGTTCACAATTCTGCCCATGGCCGTCCTACCCTACTGAGAATACTTACGTGATATAGGCACTCCCAAACCTGTTTTATGAGTTTTTATTTTATACATGGCTTTTTTTTTCTTGCAGTAGATGCATGCAGTAACAGAAAATAAGGCTTGCAACAGAGTAGAGAAGTTATTTAAGTAACAACCAGTCGTGGAGCCTTGAAACACCTCAGGCCTGTTCTTGCCTTAGGGCCTTTGTACTGGCTGTTCTGTCTTGACCACTTTGAGCCCCAAATAGCTTCATGGAGAAATCCTCGCCTCCTTCCAGTTTTTGCTCAAAGCTTACATTTTCAGGACGGTTACCATGCTTACCCTATTTAAAATTGCAACCAGCTCCTCCCGCCATGGTCCTGAACCAGGTAATCCTGCCCTTTTTTGTTGTTGTCAACACCTAACACTATCTAAATATTATGTACTTATTCATTGTTTATTGTCACTCTTTCCTGCTAGAATCTAAGCTGTTCAGAACAGGAAGTTTTATCTCTTATTACACTGATATATAGACTGTTAAAGTATCTGGCATATGGTAAATGCTCAAACATATTTGTTGAATTAAATTAATTGTATGTACATTTTTCTGCATTAAAAGAAATGGATTACTTTCAAATCACCCTCAATATATATTTTAAAATACTGATTTCAGTTGAAAAAATCACTTTTTGATATTTTGCATCGGATACAGCGGTGAAGTAAAAAAATCCCTTTTCCAACTAGAAAAAAAGTGAACATCTGTATATATCAAAGATAATTTTTCCCTTTCTCAATGGCAAAAAAAATTATTGTAACTAACAATGAAAATAAGTAAATAGAGTGCCATACGATTCTACAGAGGCCAAAGTTAGTATATTAACTATTGGAAATTTGATAATGATAATACATAGGGCAAGAAGGCTTTTTTCTTTTTCTATAAAGTTCTTAAGGGAAAAAGAATTCACTGGTAGGCACATATAATAAACAGTTTAAAGAGAATAGTAGTGCTTTATTCTAGTGTTTTTTTAATCTACTTTAAAATGTAGAACATGAAATAAAGTTTAAATAAATGCAACAATTAATGTAAATATGTATATTAGTTACAGATTATGACTAGTTAGGGAGAATAGGTACAGTAGGTTGGGTATAGACGGAGGGATAATGGGAAGAGAAATTATTTTTTTAGTTTATTTTTTATTGCAGTAATGTTGGTTTATAACCTTATATATAAACTTTAGGTGTACTGATTTCAGGTGTATCATTATCTTTTGATTTCTGTGTAGATTACATCATGTTCACCACCCAAAGACTAATTGTCATCCATCTCCACACCCATGTGCGTAATCACCCCTTTTGCCCTCCTCCCTCCTCTGGAAAGAGAAATTAAGTGTCAGAGTATGAAGGGGTGTGTGTGTGTGTGTGAGAGAGAGAGAGAGAGAGATAAGCTGAAGAGACAACCAAAAATAGAAGGGAAGACTGACATAAATGGACTCACACATTCACAGACAGACACACAGAGAAACAAGCAGAGTCAGGCTAAGTCCTTTAAAGATCACAGCACTGAGAAGACTATGAGGTTCTCAAATATGTAATTCAAAATAAATACGACAAATTATAAAGTTTTGAATTTTTTATGACTACTATTTCAATGCTTTTTAAAATATAAATATTTTACTGCATTTGCCCCCTCATTTTTCCCTCATGTCCTTGCTTTGCTGGTAGCTAAGCTCCTGTAGTCTGCCTTTTGCTGAATCCAGGCTGTACACCTAGAAACTGAAACACACTTTTACAAGTAATATCCCCATATGATGTTTGTTAGCATACTTCCCCAAAGCTGCATTGCATATTATCAGATACAGATCTCACCTGTTGGTGTCTTGTCCCACAGACAAGATAAATTAAGTTAGTGCAGGATTCAGTTTGAGGGCTGGAGATTCCAAATGCCCCTTTAAAACTTCTAACCCTGAACCCTTGGGTAACCTTGATCAGAACATTTGTGTTTGCTCTGACTACTTTCCTTGCTTGTATAATGTGCTAATTGCCCCAATCTTCAGACAACTTTCATAGTAGTTACCATAAATGATAGCGCTCACTTACTTTAGAGGGATAGACAGCAGCAGGTTCTGCTCCAGGGCCAGGTTGGAGAGCTGAGAACACCTCTGCAGGGCTCCAGCTTCGAACAAGCTGACGATGTTGTTGTCCAGAAACAAGTGTTTCAACTCTCGAAGGTCCTGGAAATCTTGCGCTGTAACTCTCTGAATCAGATTATTGCTAATATCAAGTTTTTGAAGCCTTGCTGGTAGTCTGAGGGGCAAAATTTGAAGCCGGTTTTGGGACAACTCAAGAGTCGTTAAATTGGCAAGAAGCTGTGCCCCATCAATGGAAGAGAGTGAATTTTCTGACAGGTAAAGATGGGAAAGATTCTCCAAGTGTTTCATATCTCGAAACCTCACCACTTTGAGCTGGTTTCTCTCCATTTTTAAAGAGAGCAAGGATTTGGGCAGATTCATAGGAATTTTAGTCAGAAAGTTACCACTGAGACTGAGAAATTGCAAAGACTGAAGACAAGTGAAGAAGCTAGCTGGTATCAGATGTAGTTTATTATTCTCCAAGCTCATATGTTTCAGATGGGGAAGTGCCAGTGGTCCAGCTACAGACTCGATATTGTTGCCATCCAACATCAAACTTTGCAAACTGACAAGGGAGGAGAGCATGCTGGGAGAGAGGGAGGAAATCAGGTTGTTTTTAAGTTCAAGGATTTTTAATTTCTCCAGTCCTTCAAAATCAGATCCATGAAGGACAGATATTGAATTATCACTTAGTTTTAGCACTTCAAGACTGGCTGGGAGAGCAGTGGGGACTAGTCTTAACTTATTTTTCCAGAGTTCTAAGGTCTTCAAGTTACTCAGAGTTTTGAAAGTGTCATTTTCTACTGACTCTGTTCCACTGGCCAGCAGAATAAAATCTTCTAGAGCCAACATTCCAGTGAAGTCAGAGAGCTAAAAAGGAAAGCAGGGGTGGGGAGGGGGCAGAAAAGCAGTAAATTAAGATTGTTGTGAAAAAAATACCGTATGCATTATCATTCAATATTAATGATACTTCAGATCTCCCTTCAGGATCTATTTAAAATTATCTCTTGGAAACGGGTGGAAACTCAGGTCCTGACTCATTTTACTTATGATTGCTAACAGTGTAAGACATCAAAAGCATTTTAAGCACTTTCACACACTATCGGTAGATATATAATATTGGTCAACTTTTGCTGCATATTCTCTGACCCAGCAAGTTTACTTCTAGCCAGAAATACTTACAAGTTGCATAATGATTTATGCAATAAGATGTTCTTTGTTGCCTCATCTTATAATAGCCAAAAATTGAAACAACTGAAAATCTTTTACCGAGCTATTAACAGCTGCTAACTGTTAAGATTACAAGGGATTTTCACTATCTATATACATTTTGCATCGTTTAGACTTTTTAAAATTATAAATTACATTTAAAAAATGTTTTTAAAGTATTAAAAGCAAAAATTTTAAATGTCCTAGATACTGCTGTCACTAGGATGGGCCTAGGTTTTCAACTATATTATCAACTATAAATGTTTCATCAACTATAAATGTTTTCAACTATATTATCTTTTGGAAAACCAACCTCTCTGCTCCCTACCCCACAATTTGCACTTCACCGATGAACAAGATCGGTGAAGACACAAATAGGATTCATGTGTCTCTGTCTCTGTTGAGCAAGAAGTTCATTCATACATACATCCCAGTCCTAGTACTGCTCCTCTCCTGGATTTTAGGAATTACCACATCTGATCTACTTTCTCCATGGTTTGCGAGTTCAAGCACTCTTATCTTTCCACATGTTCCCCAACCTTCTGGCTTGACATCCACCTCTTCTCCAGGATAATGTAATCCTTGGTATTGGTTCTTGGAGTAAGATCATGTTTAAGCAGAAGGAGGAATTGTTTCAGGTTTTCTTCAGCTTGATAAATCTTCACAAAATTTTCATCCTGCTTTAGAATTAAGCTGGAATTTGCAATGCACGATTTTTTATGTCTTCCTACCTACAGTTTTTAAATATTTGATTTAATTGTGCAATTGAGCCCTTTTATAATATGAATGTATGATTGACACCTTCAAAGTGGGTTAATTTGGCATCACATATTTATTATAGGTACTTATATTCTGGGAGGACATGTGATGGGAACTACGGTAAAGTACATGTTAAAGCATCTTCTAACATGATATTCTAGTAGAAGGATCTCATGTTAAAATTTCCATAAACAGATATTTTTAATCATAATAGTTTTGGCAGTTGCCTTGGGTTATATAGTGCTGCTAACATTTGATATTTTCTTAATGATTAATCAGTTGTATTGATTAGACCTAATCCCAATAATAATAGCAATTTTTTTTCTTACACTTGTGTATCTACAAGTGCCAGGTGCTTTTTTATATGCTGTCATTCACTCTCCTAATAACCCTGCAATTTTGCTATTATCAACACTGGGTTATAGATGAGGAAACTTGAAGCTGGTAAATGAAAGGGCTAAGAACTTCAGCATGGTCTCTAATGCATTTCTATTACATTTGGTCTAGAATTAATGTATTTCAAAAAAGACTCAAGATCTGGACATAAATCATAAAGTTTTAGAAAAGCAGAGATTTTAGATAGTATCTAGTACAATCCCCTCATTTAAGGGATGAAGAATTTTAGGCCAGAAAAATTAAATGACCTGCCCAAGACTCAGTGTTCTTTAATCTACTCTCCATTCTGAAGTGACCTTTTCTATGCTTTTCTTTCACATAAAGTCAAAAATGACTCTAGATGTAGATCTTTACCTCTTGGACTGTTGATCTCTCCAGAGAAGAATTAGGTGTTACTTGTACTTCCACTTCTGCCTCAGTGACCACAAGCCCTAAAAGATTGCTAGCTATGCAGCAAGTCTCAGAGATGACATGGATCTCAATGGGCAATTTATTTGAGGATGGGACAAAGAAAGTGTGGTATCGGAGCTTCCATTTATCTTCATTTCTATTTGTAAGGTACACGGACTGGTCTGAATAGTAAATATAGTTCATATTCTTAACTGAACCCAGTGGATAGTTGTTTTATGAAGAATAGAGAACGTTTTCCTTTTCTTTTTGTCAGAGTCATTGCTGATTACCTTGGATTATTATTAATTAAAATGGCTACTATTGTCTAAGTATTTACTATGTTTAATCTTTACAAAGCCCTGTGTGTGAGCATGATTATTCGCTTTTCTGAGAGGGAAACTGAGCCTCAAGAAGGTGAAATAATCTGTCCAAGGATATCTTGCTAACAAGTGGAAAAGGTAAGCTTCCACCCCAGGTTTATCACCCCAACAAGTATATTTTTAACCTTAACTGCTATAGCATGCATCTAGCTAAGGAATATAGAATTCTGCTGCCACAAGCAGTGAGGAAGACACTCGCTGATTTTTCAACTTTTCAGTTGAATTTGCAGAGCTGGCAACAGGAAAAAAATTTTGCCAGACCTGTTTTTCCATGTCCAGGGCCTAAGCAGGGCTGTGCTCGAGAGATGTGGAAAGAGATGCTTTTGCCCGAGAGCTGACCTTGGGGATGGCAGTGTTTTCAACGTTGCGTAAGCAAGACAAGTATGACACAGTATTAACAATCAGGCACAGGAAGCTTGGCTAGTATAATCCCTGCCACCACAGTTTTACAGTTTAGTGAGCCTAATAAACGTGTAGATAACAGTTGTAATAAAATATGAAAACTTTAAAAAGAATAAGCAAGTAAAGTGAAGGAGAACACAGGGGCAACTCCTGCCGGCTTCCCCATGAAATGCTTTGTTTCTGGTTTCACTTCCAAGCAGGCCCCACTCCAAGCATGAGAGGGCCTCACACCTTTCTTGGGCTCCTTATAGGTGCAATGTACACACAAAACTGACACACCCTCACTTGGCTGTCTCAGACTTGTGTGAACTAAGCTAGCAAGGAGTTTATAAAACAATGTGGGAATTTTTTTCCGATCATCAAAGTAACACGTGTTCTCTGAAAACAGTTTTAAAATTCTAGAAAGTAGGGAGAGAGTATAAAAATAACCCCAAACCCCCCCACTCAATGATAAACTTGGTGCTTGTAATATTTCTTACCCAGGAGGAGTTTGAAATAGCTTCTTCTCTTCCACAAAAGAGGTAAAGTACAGTCATTTTAATTGCCTGCCACCATAATGACACTCCTTTTTTTTTTTTGAGGAAGATTAGCCCTGAGCTAACTGCTGTCAGTCCTCCTTTTTTTTGCTGAGGAAGACTGGCCCTGAGCTAATATCCATGCCCATCTTCCTCTACTTTATACATGGGATGCCTACCACAGCATGGTGTGCCAAGCGGTGCCATGTCTGCACCTGGGATCTGAACCAGCGAACCCCAGGCCGCTGAGAAGCAGAACGTGTGAACTTAACCACTGCGCCACTGGGCCAGCCCCCATAGTGACATTCCTATTTGCCCTCTAAATGTAAGAGCTGAAACTATAAAGCTCTTAGAAGAAAATAGAAAATATTGGCATAAATTGTTCTGACCTTAGATTTGGTAAAGAAGAAAAAATAGATAAAATGGACTTAATGAAAATTAACATTTTTTGTGCTTCAAAGGACATCATCAATAAAATGAAAAGACAACCCACAGAATGGCAGAAAATTTTTCAAATAATATATCTGATAGAAGACTTGTATTTAGAATATATAAAGAACTCTTACAACTCATTAATAAAAAACCAAATAACTCAATTAAAAAATGGGCAAAGGATTTGCATAGACATTTCTCCAACGACGATAACCAAATGGCCAATAAGCATATGAAAAGTTGCTCAACGTCATCAGCCATCAGTGATATGCAAATCAAACCATAATAAGATACCACATAACACTCACTAGGATGGCTGTGATCCAAAAATAAATAAATAAATAAGAAATATTAGGGGCTGGCCCAGTGGCGCAGCAGTTAAATTCACACGTTCCACTTCTTGGAGGCCCAGGGTTCGCCAGTTCGGATCCCGGGTGCGGACATGGCACCACTTGGCAAAAGCCATGCTGTGGTAGGCGTCCCACATATAAAGTAGGGGAAGATGGGCACAGATGTTAGCTCAGGGCCAGGCTTCCTCAGCAAAAAGAGGAGGATTGGCAGTAGTTAGCTCAGGGCTAATCTTCCTCAAAAAAAAAAAAAAAAGGAAATGTTAGCAAGGATATGGAGAAATTGGAACTGTCATACATTGCTGTGGGAATGCAAAATGATGTAGCCACTTTGGAAAACAATCTGGCAGTTCCTCAAAATGTTAAACATAGAGTTCCCATATGGCCCAGAAATTCTACTTCTAGAGAAATGAAAACGTATGTCCATACAAAAACTTGTACATGCATGTTCTTAACAGCATTGTTCATATAGCCAAAAAGAAGAAACAACCCAAATGTCCATCAGCTGATGAAAGGATAAACAAAATGTATATACATACAATGGAATATTATTTAGCCTTTAAAAGGAAGGAATTTTTGACCGTGCTACAATACAGATGAACTTTGAGGAGATTATTTTAAGTGAAATAAACCAGCCACAAAAACCACAAGTTTAGGGAGAAAGATTGAATTCCATTTGGGGCATGTTATTTGGAGATCCTTTTTATATATATAGGTGAAGAGGTCCAGTGGGCAGCTGGATTAGTCAGATACATGCGGGAAAGGTATGAATTAGAAACTCAGTTATGGGAGCCATCATGGCTTAGATAAAGTGAAGTCACCTAAGGAGAGTGTGCATAGTATGAAAAGGAATGGCTAAGGATTGAGACTTCCTGGAGAAGCCAAAAAATAAGGGGCAGTGCACAAAAAGAAACCTACAAAAATGGCAGAAAAGAAATATCACAGAGGATTAATGAGCACATAAAAGTGTGGTGTCATGGAAGGCAAGAGAGTGAGAATTTCAAGAAAATAGGAGTGAGCCAATGTCTGAGAGAGAACAGTTTTAATTGTGTAGAGTAAGTAGAAACCAGACAGCACTCAAGTAAAGAATATACCATGAGGAGGCGAAGAAGTGGAGACAGTAAGTGCAGACTACTCTTTCACAGAGATTTGCAAATAAAAGGAGATAGTAGCAAGAGAAGACACAGAATTAAAAGAATTTTATTTTAGTGTAATGAAAGGAACATGTTTATAGGCTAGAACAGGGCACTAGTAAGGAAAGAGCAGCTGAAGATATGAGAGTGGGGAGAGTGATGGAGCAAGCTCTGGGGAGGTAAAGAAAGAGGGAATCAAGAGCATGGGAGGGAAGTTGCCTTGAAAGGAGGGACATCCCATCCTCTCTGTCTAGAGGAAAGAGTTTGCACAATTAAATGGAGACAAGTTAGGACACAGTGAACAGGAATTGAGGGAGATCAAGAACTAATGGCCTCAGTTTTCTCAAGATTTTTCAATAAAATGCGAGCCCAGCCACTTGGTGAGAATAAGGAGGGCAGGTAAGAGAAGGTAATCCAAAACCGTACTGAAGTTTTGGCAGATGCAGAGGGAATGTGGGAGGCATCTGACGAAGAAGAACTGAAAGGATAGATGGGTGATACTGAAGAACCAGATGAGGTCGAAGACCTTGAATTTGTGCTGGTTCTATAAATTTGTAATGGTTCCAAACCACACGTATACACACACATATGTGGATAGGTTGTGTGATCCTCTCCAGCAGGACCTAGCTGTCCAGGTATAGGAGAAACAAAGGGAAATTATCACCCTAATTTAAGAGTGAGGCTTTGCTGAATAGGTGTTGAGATAATTAATTGTGGGATGCAAAAAAGGGAAGAGGTAGGAAAGGAGATAGATAAGAGACAAACTGATTTTCTGGGAGGACATGAGTAGATCTAGGGTTACAAGCCTCTTTGAAGTGGAGAGATAAGTTCAGAGTACAGCAGCTAAAAGGAAAGGATATGATGACCAGAGAGTAGATGTAGGAATTCAAGATTTTTGAATGGAGAAGTTTCAGGTATAATGAGGATTATGATATAAACAAGAGAATAGACGGCTGTGTTGAAGTGGAAATGTAAATAGATACCTTTTTTATGAGTTCAAGGGAGTGTGAGACTAGGATATTGGACACTGAAGGCACCCAAGAAAATGCAGGACTTAGGATAAAGAGGAATACTAGGAGCTAGGAGGGAAGGGCCCAGGGGCCCAGTATGAGACAGACAGAGCAAATAGCAAGTGTTACAGTCCAATGGCATCAACCTCAAAGAAGTAGGAATTTTTACAGGTAAATGGATAAAGTCCCTCTTTTCTTATGGGCAGGAACTGTGAATTTTTCACCTTTTATCCACAGCCTCAAACACAGCATCACAGCATTCACAGTCCCAAACACAGTTGAATTATATGAACGTGTAATAGAAACATTTTTAATTGTGATATACATATATCTATATTTACACATATCGAGGTAGCATTTCATCTTATTGTCTGCAAAGCAGCAGCGCAGGGTCATCATCAGGCTTAGTTGACACTCCAGCGCTCGGCATCTCAAGTCCTCAGAACAAATATTTAAGCATTTTGCCCTTTAACCAGGTGTCTTGCTTGATTGCTGAGACTGACAGGGTCACACTTGCTCTCTGGCATTAGGCACGACTGGCTTAGAAGAGGAAAGTAAACAAATGACGACTAGGCTATTGTGCTTATTGAGCCTCCAAATAAATACCATGCCACGTATCTTAAACTCTCTGTGTTTCTGCACCTGTATTAAAATTTCTTAACCAAATGGAAGAGGGGTGTGTGTGTGTGGTGGTGGTGGGGGGGTGTCTTTATTTGAAAGGAAAGCACGTTCACCTGCTGCCTTTTTGCACCTGGAGCACAGAGAGGTATTTTCTTATCTTAGGATCTGTATCCATGAGGGAGAAGCAGTGACCAGTAAAGAGAAAATCAGAGAACTACAGAATTTTCCATCTAGAAGGAGGAGCCTGGGATCACCAATCTAATCCAGCCATCTCATACAGGTAAAAAGTGAGGCGCAGATGTCCTTTAACTGCTTGCCTAAGATGGTCACATCTCTAGTTAGTGAGAAAACTAGGATGCCAATCCTGGTCTCTTGAAACCTTTCAAAATACCAAAGGCCAAAAACAAAAGTTCTTTCATGTTATGAAAGTCAGACAAACCTACAGCAGTCTTTTCTGTGCCCTCTGAATAGGTAAGCACGAAAATAAAAGCCGTAATTAAAAATACAAAGAATGAGAACTGCAGAATGTGGCAAAACCAAAATTTATATTTCTTCTGTGTACGTTTCCACAAAGACACTGATGCCTGGTATGTAGAGTTTTATGAATAATTCTCATATGCTGGGTTCATCTTGATAGTCTTATAACGCTGTAAGTATCTTGTGCCTTCTATGGCATAAATAAAACTCTGTTTTTCCCCTGAAAGGACTTATTCTTAATCCTGGGGACATAAAGTGGCCATATGCTCTCAAACTCTTTTTGTTAGGAAAGAGCCATTTCTTTACTTTTGCTTCGCAACAACATAATTTAAAAAAAATTCTAAATAAAAACTGAAATAAAATATCATTAATTACAGATTCTGATTTTTTTGACTGCTTCCCTAAAAGGAAATATCCAGAGGCATATACCCATCTTGCAGGTGGCTATTGTAAACTACCCTAACTTGATAACCATCACTTTTAAGTTTTGATTATTTAAATCGAGTTTAATAACCCCACACTCGCCCTGTCACAAAATAAAATGGCAGCAACCTGAGTGTAGAATGAGTAGTTACCTGGAGGTGTTGAATTTTGCTGTGGCTGATGTAGAGGCTCTTGGTGGTGGAAGGAAGACCTGGTGGTACCTCTGTTAGCCTGTAGCATTGCACAGACTGCACTGCATCACAGCTACATCTTCCAGGGCAGTTAGGGTCGAAACCATGGCTAAGAGAGAGCAAAACAAGGACAGCATACAGCAGATGCATTTTCCCAAACAGGGCCTCTCAAGTAGCAGGCCAGGGTGTAGGTGATGTCTCACTCTTTATACCATGAAATCTGATAATAGAATCTTATGAATGTGTACTCTGTCAATGTAAGAAGACAGGTAAGAAAAAATTCTCAATTTGCCCGGGTTAAAATGTTAGCAACCATGACAAAGAAGAAGGAGCTTAAACATTGATAAGCTGCCTTAATATTTGTAGGTGAGCAAAACCCTATGTTATTTATGGCTTGGAAGCCTAATCTGCAAACACCTCTATTATCTGTAGTTTCCTTGTTTTGTTAAATGTGACACTAGGGAATTAGTGGGAAAAGACAAAGAGCCGTTTTACAGCGGGCTATAAAACCTTTGAATTTTCTGTGACCCTATATTAAAACCATTTTTGCAGGACTGCAACAGGCAGGTGTTTTCTTCTCACGTTAACTAGTAAGGGAAAATGGGCAGGTTTTCCATTTATTATTGTTGTTTCAGTAACATTTTATTGCTGGGTGAAACAATGGAGAGAGAGTTAGAGCCACAGATAACATGCTCAATTCATCTATCACTTGACCTACCCAAATATCATATTTGGAAAACATTTTTGTCATTCAACAATCTGTTGACTCAAATGAGAATCAGACATCTATTTGTAATAATGGGAGAAAAGGCCTCTAGTTTCTTCAGAGCAACTTGTTGGTTGTGAAAACGGACTGAAGAGGGAAAGTTTCATTTGTCCTGGGTGCTCTTTTGTTGTGGCTTTTTGTCTTGCTGTGGTATCCCCTGGTGAGGAATTTGAAAGCATTTTAAGCAAAAGATTGTATACAGAAGCTCTCTCCTCCCAAATGGAAGACCTGAATTTCCCCAGGCTGGTCGGCCTCAGCCGATTGCTCTAAAGAAACCCTTTCTAATATTCAAAAGCTTCTCTTATCTCCTCTTCGACCTTACCTCTCTTTGCTACAATTTTCATTTTGAAGCCAAAATTTTCTTTCATCTGATAATCAATTCGTTTTATTTCCAGAGTAAGGATTTCTGTGTGCATTTCCCAAAAGACTTTTCCACTCCTCTTTTCTGATTGTTTTCCCTCTGTTTTCTTTTCTTCTACTATCAGAGACAAGAAGCGATAAGAGATTTGTGTTCTGTCAATATTCTGATTTTCAACAAACTTTATTTATTTCTCTTGTCTAATAAGATAATTATTTTTTAATTTTTAGGATTTTCAAATAGCAAAGTAATTCCAATAAATGAAAATTTGGAAAAAAAAGAGCAAGGAGGGAAAAGAATCAATTTTAATCCTGTCTCCAGATCAAATATTTTTTGTTTTCTCTGCCTAGGCCTTGAAACAACGAAGAGAAATACTCATTGATCACTAGTTTTTTTCCTGTGTTGCTAAAAACGTAAATTCATATTTAGTTACTCAGAATGAATTGCTGGCAAAATTCTATCCTCTCATCTGCCGTCAATGAAAGCTGATTTTTCTCTGTTATTCAGCACAGTGATGAGTTCCATTTTCTATCCTCTGTTGGTGGCCACAGGATTCCCTTTTCTTTGACTAAGCCTTGCAATTACACTAATATTTTTTCTTCTTTTCCATAGTATTTCTATAACTTTCCTGCAATTTTGGTATTGTCTCTAATATATCACTATTTTACACTATGAATAACTCTGTTTGACCAGGTTGCAAACATACTCATGCAACTTTATATTCTGCACTTTTCACTATTATAATATTTTTCCATATTATTTCATAGTCTTCATAAATATAACTTTAAACATTTAATAGTCCATCAAGAGTATTGTCTAAATTTGATTAACTACTTTCTAAGTGTTGGATTTTTAGATTGTTTCCTGACTTTACCGTTATAAATATAAATAACTTTGATCATAAAAAGTTTGAGAATGTTTTGAAGAATAAAAGATTCATCTGTTCCCCGGACCACATCTATTTATTTAGGGTTAATCTGAGAAGTCAATTTTTTCTCAGGTAGAAGGCGAAATCTTGTTGAGACTATAAACTTCAGAGAAAGTGTAATAGAAAGGTGTAGCCGGAGTGCTCGAACAACGTGCACGTTTTGTTGCATCTGCTCTGGAGGTGACAGGCCCCTTTGCAGTTATGTTATGCTATGAAGCAGCCACAAAAGCTGCCACCATTCCTCAGCTTCTAGCTTACTTTCTGTTGACTTTTGGAGTTTTCAAATGTTGACTAAGGGCCATGGGTATAAAGTTCCCTACATTTAGCTTGTGTTTTTAGCTCTTGAGCTTATGGGTCCCTAAGGCTAAGTGTGAGGCACACTTCTCTTTTCTCTAAAAAGGACTTAACAACACCTTATCCGATCATTATTACTTGGCTTCTTTAGGTAAGAAAAAGAGTAAAGGAAAATGAGTGATTTTCTCCAGCAAGGAAACTCAACAACTCACCCAGCAACTCTGTTCAAAAACAGCCCAGAGTCTAGCTTTAGTCTTTCAGCACAGGAAAGATTGCAAGCTCAAGGAACATGCTTTGCATTTGAATTCAGATTGAATTAGATTTATGTCTTCATTCAGATTCTCAAGCCAGGATCCTCCCTGACTTGCTTTCTTATCTTCTATATCTTTACCCCCCTTCTCTGCCTCCCTTTCTTCCTCCTTCTCTCCCTCTCTTCCTTTCTTCCTTCCTATAACCCAGTGGTTCTTAAGCAGGGGCAATTTGGCAATGTCTGGAGACATTTTTGATGACAATAAAAGGTTGGGGGTGGGGTGGGGCGGGTAGGCAGTGCTACTGGCATCTAGAGGGCAATGGCCAGGGATGCTGTTAAATACCCTACAATGCACAGGACAGCCCCTACAGCAAAGAATTATGCAGTCCAAAATGTCAATAATGCCATTGGTAAGAAAATCTGCAATAAACACCAATGTGTGCCTCTGTGCAACGGATATTGGCCTTCTTTGGTTTATTAAAAGCAAAGGGCAAGTTCCCATTACAGACAAGAAACCAGAATTCCAGAAAAGCAACTGACTAACCCAAACTCTCCCTGACTTGAGTGCAGAAGCATTGGCTTGTGATTCCTATTATAAAACTGATCAACCAAGAGCTAAACAGAAGACTTTAATTTATGAAAATATCTTTCTGAGTTTAAAGAAAAGAAATTTAAAGAATAAAAAATTGTGAATATAACTCTTTTTTAATTTGTTTGCTTCTTCTGTAGAATGTTGCAAAAAGAGCATAAGTTTAAAGTAAAACAAAAAAATAAATTTTTCTATTCCTTCATCTCTCCTAATCTCAATTTTTTCTTCTATAGAATGAAGATAAAAATGGGGGAAATAATTTCCATTTTACAGAAAGAAACAGATGAAATAAACTAAGGCATGTCAAGTCCATGGGCAAAAAGAGGATTTCAATAAATAATAGTTGTATCAGTTTAGGTTCTTAGTTGCAAGCAGTGGAAACAAATCTGGCTGATTTAAGCAGAAAAGGAATTACTGAAAGACAGTTGGGTAACACACAGAATTGTAGGAATGCCTGGAGAACCAGATTTGGAAATAGACAAGAATAAAGGAAGGCTATATAGCCAGAATCACAGACAAATCACATATCAGTCTAGTGTCACCACAGAATACAGATGCCCTGGCCTCCGCCACTGAACCAGAAATTGGATACCATTGCTGGCACTGCTGCTACTGAAAAAGGATGCTGCTACCCCCACTCCCATCTCTACTCCCTGCCAAGAAGAATTCTGCCAATCTCTGCCTCACTATCTCCACATTAAAAATTTCAGGTGGACGATTTTGGTTAGGTGAGCCTAGGTCATATGCCTGTGCAGAGCTGGGAAAGTGATTATCTGACCTTTTTGGCTCATTATGGGAGGAGGACTCTATTTCCAATATTCAAGTCACATACGGTAAGGAATTCCTTAAGCAGAGGAAGGGGGTTCAAATACAGACAGTCTCTCATTTGCAGTGACAAATGCCCACTATAGAAATCTTTTTACCCTCACTCCTTTTGCTCACCATGACCACAAAAGCCAAGTGAGTTCTGAGTAAGTTACAATTAACTGGGGACCAAACAACTTCATTTCCAACAACTATTGTGACATGGCTTGTGTTTGCTTCACTCTACTTTTCTGATTTGTTCATTTAGAAGCCTATAAAGATTCTAAAGAGATCATTTAAAGTATTCCTATACTTTTTAATATAAGTGCAAAGAAAAGATAATTAATGTTAAAGGGTGTTTGGAATGCAATTGTTTTGGGCCCCTTATAAAACTAATCTATAGGAAATATAAATGACAGAGGCCGACGTGGGGGAGTCTATGTTTGATCTGTAAAGTCTGACAATCTGAGAAATAAACAGTGACTTGACAGTGGATGAAAGAGGAAGAATTGATGATGAGTAAACTCTGATACCATTGTTGATAAATGGTGGTTTTAGATAATGCTGAACTAAACCTGGAGCTGTGGGAAAGAGTAAATGAAGAATGCAGATCCAGTGACAGTGGGAAAGCAGTCATAGTCGTCTTTGAGAGTGAGAGGGAATAAAAATAGAGTAATAGGGATTTCTAAAACTGTTTTTTGTTACGTTTTGTTTTTAGGTTTGGGTACACCATACAAAACATAGTATCTCATAAATTTTAACTATGGACTAGGTAAAATAATTCTTGAAGCCTAAATTAGACTGGATTTATGAGTCAAATCGACCAGATCACTGTTAAGTAAACTTTTTTTTTAGGTTGGGAGAAGTATTCCTTGGAATTTAAAGGAATATATATCTTATAGACATTTCTAACCCCTGAGCCCATATAAAAATATGTTCAGCTATGCTCTCTAGCAAGTATCAAAGGTATGTCTTGAAAAGTGACTGTTTTTAGAATTTCTTAGATAACACTGTTGTACTATCTTTATTGAACTGACCACACAAATATTTTCAGCATTCCTACTATCATCCAGATTCTGTTTTAGGACCTGGGATTCAAAGATAGCAAGACACAGTTATTGCTGCCAAGGAGCTCACAGTTTAAGGGGCTCCAAAACATAT